AAGGCCTTAGGGCTTTGTGTGTGCGAGTTTTCGTCTGGAGTGACTTCGAGTGCTCTTCGGACTCAAGAGCTGCCAGGGTGCTCTCAACCCTGGTAGCGGAGCCTACCGCGCTATCAGGAAAGATCCGTGACGCTACTGTTCCAGGTGTACAATGGTGGCAAGGCCAAGGCAATATAGGGTTTAGCAGCTTGGCTGCTGGTGATTTCAGAAAACTTCCCAGGCTTAGGCAAGATGGCGACTGAACCCTCAGGGACCTCTGGAGCGAGCCCCGGCAACACTGGCAAGGCAGACAACTATGTGCCAGTGTTCAGCAACCAGCAGAGAGAATACAAGGAGTTCAAGAAGCGAGCTGAGATCTACCGGGTCAAGATGAGGCTGGCTGGGCGCCAGAAAGAGACCGTCTTCAACCTGGTGACGATGATGAGTGGCAAGGCCTGGGACCTTGTTGAGGACCTCCCTGTTGCGGAGATGGAGAAGGAAGAGGGCTTCGAAAAGATATTTGAGAGGCTGGACAAGGGCTTTCGATACGACCCCTTGACCGAGCTTCCAGATGACTTTGAGGCTTACTTCATCAAGCTGCAGCGGCGGAGCAACCAGACCTTGCAAGAATGGAGTGCTGAATACCTGCGAGCAGAGCGGCGACTGACGACGACTCACGGCGTGACCCTCCCGGAGAAGATCCGTGCCTGGTTCTTCCTGAGGAGGAGTGGCGTGAGCAAGGAGCAGAGACAGCTTATCCTCACGAACGTCGGCGCTGAGAACCTCAACCTGGAGGCCGTGAGCAAAGCAATGAACTTTATTCTGGGACAGGACTCCAGGCTAGAGGGCAGAGGCGACAAGTGGAACAAGAAGGTGGACCGCGCCCACTACCAGGACGAGCTCGACAGCGAGGAGTGGCCGGACGTGGACGCCACCTACTACCAGGACGTTGGTGAGGAGCCTCCTTGGCTCGACGCAGACCAGGCCTACTACGAGGACGAGGCGTCGGAGGACGACTGCGAGGAGGCCTGGGGTGTCGAGGAGTATGACGAGATCTACGCCGCCTATGTCGACGCAAAGAACCGCATGAACCGGATGAGGACGGCCCGTGGCTTCTACCCACAGTCGTTGCCTTGGTGGATCGCCCGACTTCACCTACGTCACCAGCTGGCCGAGGCAAGAGCCCCGGCAAGAAAGGAGGAGGAAAGAGGCCCGGGAAGAAGGGCCAGCCGGGGGAAGCAAATGCCAGCCAAAGGAGGTGGAAGCAAGGCTGGCGCTCGTGGAAAGGCGGCGGTTGGGAGACAGGTGTGCTTGAGATGTGGCCAGTCGGGCCACTGGGCACGCGACTGCCCGGCTGGAGAGAAGAAGCACCGCCTCGACACGCAAGCCGGTGCGAACGACGAGGTGATGATGGTGATGGACGCCGACCCCACCGATGGCATGGACAACCACAGCAGGACCTATGCCATGACCCCGGTGTATGCCCTGGACAACGACGAGGACGATGACAACCAGACGTGCAACAGAGCGGTAGGGATGGAGGCGCGGCCTCTGTCCTAGGGAGCCTCCTGTATGTGAAGCGCTACCTCAGACACTTGCTCGAGAACGGCTTCCCCTTGGACACCCTCGAGGTCTACGCGTGCAAGAAGTCCTTCCGCTGCGGCAACTCGGCCACTGAGGCTACAGGTCTGTGTGTCATGCTGCCGGTTGTGATGGGAGGAAAGAAGCGACAGGTGCTCACCTACATCATCCCATCCTCTTCGGCAGGCCTGTTCTGGAGAAGCTCGAGGTGACCATCGACTACAAGACCGGGAAGATGAAGTGGCCCGGCGGACCGTGGCAGCCAATATCTCGAGGAGACCGTGGAGAACACCAGCTGGTGCTTGCCGAGGACATGGCGACCCTCTTGGACGAGACCCAGGACTTTGAGGAGATCCTGGCCCCCACCGACTTCGAGACACACGTCGTCTTCAGGAAGAACCTTGGCTACCAGGCGATCCTCGGGAAGACGGCCGGCCCCAACGAGGTGTACCACACGACGCTCGAGAAGGACCACAGCCACGACGACCAGAGCAACGAGAAGGACCACAGCCGCAACGACCAGAGCAAGGAGAAGGACCACAGCCACGACGACCAGAGCAACGAGAAGGACCACAGCCGCAACGACCAGAGCAACGAGAAGGACCACAGCCGCGACGACCAGAGCAACGAGAAGGACCACAGCCACCATGACGGCGAGCAGAACGAGCACGAGATCGACCAGAAGGACCGCGGGGACGAGGCAAGAGAGCAGCGAATTGCCTTCGACGAGAACCCCAGAATGATACCTGACAGCGCCACGGCAACAGCATCTTCTCCATCACCTATGTGGACCCTGGAGGAGGTTGTTAATGCAAAGCAGGTGCCCCTGAGCGACAAAGCCATGGTGAAGAACCTCCCAAAAGGGAAGCTCCACGGCTTCATTGCCAGCGCCGCCAAGGAGAAGAAGGAGCTGAAGAGTGCAATGGACAGGGCCGCCCGCGTTTCCTCAGCTGACCATAAGCTGGTGTGGGAGGTCTTTGCAGGGAAGGGCAAGCTGACTGCCAACTTGAAGTACAAGGGTGCAATGACCGAGCGTTTCTCCACCAAGGAGGGGTGGAACCTTCGCCGGGCCAAGGACCGAAAGAAGTTTCTGAGGAGACTTCGCCACGAGGAGCCCGACGAGGTGGTGATCACTCCTCCCTCGCGCCTGTGGAGCCCAACGCTGGAAAAGCAGCTGGCTTCTGTGCCCTGGTCTTTGAGTTGCAGCGACGTGGAGGACGACACGCCCACCTGGAACACCCATGGACCAGCAGAGCCTGGAAGACGAAGGCATTCCACCGGTTGCCCGGGATGCCTACCTACGTGGATCAGTGCATGTATGGCCTCCTCACAAAAGACGGTGGCTGCCCACTGAAGAAGTCTACGTGCATACTTACCACCAAGAGGAGCGTGCGTGAAGGACTTCACTGCGAGTGTGACGGCAGCCACGACCACGGACGAGAGCAGGGACACGCCCAACATGAGGACAACGAGCCCCCGGAACTCATGGCCAAGAAGTTCGCCGAGCTCATCGTGCAGGATGGTGTTGCAGAGGATGCCCTCCCTATCGACGAGGGCACCGAGGCGGCCGATGTCGAGATGGAGCAGGCCACCGGCGAGGAAGCACAGGAGGAGCCCGAGGTGATCAAGGCCAACCAGAGCCTGAAGCAGCAAGTGGGCAGACAAGCCTTCGGCTACGTTGCCCGCCTCCACAAGAACCTCGGACACCCGAGCCCAACAGTGCTGGCGAGGACGCTGGAGGAAGTGCAGGCGACCGAGAACGTGATCACCTGTGCTAAGAACTACCTGTGTGCTGCGTGTCTCAAGAGAAAGAAGCCTGCTGGAGTTCCCCCAGCGAGTGGCATTGAAGGCCGGGAGTTCAACGAGCGGCTCAGCTCGACTCGGCCGGGATCGACACCGATGATGGTCGCATGTGCGTGCTCACCATCATGTGCCAGGCTACCCGATTCGTGACCGTCAGGGTCCTGGCGAGCGAGCAAAGCAAGGAGCTTCTGAAGGGGCTCGAGCGCGCCTGGATCAAGCACTTTGGGGTTCCCAAAATTATCAGGATTGATGAGGCCAAGGGCTGGAGCGCCACCTTGATCCGGGAATGGTGCTCGGACCACGGCGTTGAGCTGGAAATTGCTCCAGCAGAGGCACACAGCTGGCTTGGAGCTGTTGAACGTCGGCACCAAGTGGTGCGAAGAAGCTTGGAGCTGTATATGGAGGACCGCCAAGACCGCACAAGGACAGGGCTGCGTGAAGCCGCCATCTTTGTGCCGGGCCAGATCAACTTGCTGAGTTCGGTGAAAGGTTTTTCCCCGGCCCAATGGGTGCTTGGCAAAACTCCAGCAAACAGCTTCAGCCTCACCAACGAGATCTTCAACCCAGCCGCCCCGGATGCTGAAGATGATGCCGGAGCCTTTGCCGCAAACCACCGCAGCAGGACTGCCGCCCAGATTGCCTTCCTGAAGGCCGACACCGACCTGAGGCTGAGGCGCACTATGAACCGGAACTACCGCGAGGGCGACCATAGCCGAAGGTGGGCCAGAAGGTTTTCTTCTGGCACGTACAGGGAGCTGGCATTCTTCAAAAGAACCGCTGGCGGGGACCAGCTCGGGTTGTTGCTGTTGAGACCGACGATGGCGGCAAGGAGCGGGTCATTTGGCTGGCCCACGGCACCTCTCTTCTACGCTGCGCCCCTCACCAGGTGCGGCCCGTCATCGAGGACACTGGCTACAATGTTGCGTCCGACCCCGGTGCGGCCATGGAAGCCCTGCAAGAGCTCAAGGCCCGGAGCACAACCCAGTTCAAGGACATTACCGCCAGCGAGCCTGTTCTGGAGGACAACGTCGACGACCACCTCTCCGACTACGAACCCAGCCTGCCTGACGACAACAGCCGCCCCAGCGACGCTGACGAGGAGACCGAACGACCTCTACCACCTCTGCCTGGCGTTGTTGAGCTGGCCTTCCAGGATGTGCTCTCCCGGCAGCGTCCCCTCACCCGGCGCATCAGCACCGCCGAGCCCGAGCCGGAGCAGCTTGACGCCGATGTCCCGCCCGACAAGCGTGCGCGACTGGATCCCGCCCGCCCACCCGGTGCTCCTCACCATGTTCGGCTCGATCCCGCCCACCCGCCGAGGATGATGAGGAGCTCTATGTGGATGCCTATGTGGTGGATACAGCCGACAACGACTTCCCTGAAGGTTGGGCCGTGGTCGATGGCGAAATTGCCATCGATGAGGCCTGGGTGGCAAGAGTCGAGGCGAAGGAGAAGCACATGAATGTGGAGCAAAGGGCGGCTATGGTCCAGGCCAAAAGAACTGAGCTGGAATCTTTTTTCAGTAACCAGGTGTGGCAGTTTGCTGCAGATGGCGAGAACAGGGCTGGCCGAACCGTCTCAGCCCGATGGGTGCTCTCTTGGAAGGAGCCTGAGAACGGAGGGCCCCCCAAAGCAAAAGCACGCCTTGTGCTTCGTGGCTTCAAGGACCCCGACGTGATGAACATCGAGAAGGCTTCACCTACAGCGCCACGAGGCAAAGCAAAATGCTTCTGCTGGCCTTTGCGGGCAACTGGCAATGGGTGGTGTTTTGCGGTGACGTTAGAACAGCCTTTTTGTCAGGGGCCGAGTTCAACAGGAAGATCGTGGTGAAGCTGCCGGCCGATTGTGGGCCGCTTCTGGGAGCTGGTCCGCAGCCGACATATATGCGGATGCTCAAGTCAGCCTATGGGCTGGCCGACGCGCCTCTCCTGTGGTGGAAAGAAGCAGACAGGCGACTACGCAGAGGAGGCTGGGAAAGGCACCCGTTAGATCGGTGCTTCTACTTGCTGTTCACCAAGGACCGGGTGCTGACAGTGCTTGGTGCTGCACGTCGACGACCTCCTTGTTGCCGGGGATGGCCAGAACACCGAGTTCAAGGCAGCCATCGCCGCCCTGAAGAAGATCTTCGACTTCGGCAAGTGGCAAGAGCTGCACGACAAGGGCCCCATCCTCTACTGTGGTGGCAAGCTGGAACGGGATGCAGCTGGCATCCACCTTGGGTACGCCGACTACCTCAAGAAGGTCGCTCCTGTGACTGTTCCCCGCGCAAAGGAGAACAAACCTTTGCAGCCGAGAGATGTGGGCAAGCTTCGTGGACTGATTGGTGCTCTCCAGTGGCCAGCCGGCCAAGGACTCCCTGCACTGAGCGCTTCCCTGAGCATCCAGGCTGCAGGCATAAACCAAGCCGACACCAACCTCGTGAACGAGCTCAACAAGACCCTCAGGTTCGCGAAGGCCCAGCGCAGCTACCGGATCACCATGGGCAAGGTGTTTGGCGACCTCAACGACGTGTGCCTGGTGGTGTTCAGCGACGCCGCCTTCGCCGTGAGGCCAGATGGGTCATCCCAAGTCGGCCTCCTCGTGGTGATGACCTCCAAGAAGGTGCTTAGTGGAGACACCGTGCCATACTCTGTCCTGAGCTGGAGGTCCCACAAGCTTCAAAGGGTGTGCCGCAGCAGCCTTGCAGCAGAGGCCCAGGGGCTTGCAACGGCCCTCGACGAGCTTGTGATGGTTAAGTTAAGTCGATGGTCTCGCTGATGCTGGACCCCCGCCAGGACCCAAGAGCACCAGAGACCGCGCAGTGGCCAGGGAGCTCGGTCGCTGTGATCGACGCCAAAGCCCTTTACGACGCCCTGAAGAAGCCCGGCTTTACGAGTGCACAAGACACGGACCGCCATCGAGATCCTCTGCGTGCAAGACGAGCTGAAGAGGCTTGGGACCACATTGCGGTGGGTCTCGAGCGAGCGGATGCTGGCGGATGGACTCACGAAGGTTGGGTCGCGACAGGAGCTTGCCGACACGATGATGTCGGGGAGGCTCAGCTTGGTCTACGACAAGGACTTTGTGGCCGCGAAGAAGAAAACGAAGGAGGAGCGAGAGCGAGCTCAGCGAGCATCTGGGGGGCAATATGGTTCCCGAATCGCACAGCACATATCGATGGTGCTCCTCGCGCAGGCCGCCAACGGTGTGGATGGCACGACCCCGGACGACGGCAACCACACGACTGACTACACCGACCTGCTCCTCGGCTTCCTCTTCCTGCAGTTCACCTTCGTGCTAGCCTATGTCCTGTACAAGATCGTGAGCTACGTGACCGCGGCGACTACTACGAGGACCAGATCCGTGACGACAGGCCGCAACCAGGACACCAAGCTCTACCACCTCAACGCCATGACGAGGCAGTGCCAGAACGAGCTCGACGAATACAGAGAGTACACAGCCCAGCTCAAGGCCGAAAACACTGGCTTGTGGCGGCAACTCGAGGACTGCCAACACGAACGTGATGCTCTGCGGCGTCGACCCCCACCGGGAGTGCCACAGCGTGTGTGGCTCACCCAGAAAGGTCAATGCTTCCACCCACGCGAAGACTGTGGGCACCTACGAGGGGCCCGTCCTGTTGCAAAGACGCTGTGCAGAGACTGCGAACGCGGACTGGGCTGAAAGCCGAGCGCAAGCAAACGTCGCTCTCACTTTTCTTTCTTTCTCCTTTTTCCCCCGTGTGAAGACCTGCCAGGACTTAGGAGTGCAGTGGGCAGGTGCAACCCGCTGTTGTGCAGCATCCTCTGTCCCTTCCGTTGCACGGCTCTCAGAAGGGAGGGCTTGAGCTACCGCGGCACGTGCCATGGGAATGTGGAAAAGGCCTTAGGGCTTTGTGTGTGCGAATTTTCGTCTGGAGTGACTTCGAGTGCTCTTCGGACTCAAGAGCTGCCAGGGTGCTCTTAACCCATGGTGTTTTACATGTTTTTTGTGCGTATCGACGTGTTTAAACCATGGGCGCGACTGGCGTTCTAAGAGGAAAGAAATCATTCTCAACTACACTTTCAATTCCGCACAGTGTTCACTCGGAGATAGCTTTGGGTGGGACTTCTTGGGGTGGTAGCTGAGCGGCATTCCTTGCGGAAAGCAGCTTGCAGGCAAAATGGGTGGGACTAGGGCCTTGCGCTGTATTGTGGGAGACAGCCGTGCGCGACCTCGTGTCGACTCTTTCTTTCGTTATTGTGTCATGGTTGGAAGTCGTGTTTTTTGTGGTTTTTTCATGCGAAAGCAAATGTCAGCGGATGTTGGGTTGAAGCTTTGAACTTGAAGGTTTTGGGGCTTGCACTGCTTCGGTAGGGCACGGGATGCTGGTTTAAAGCTTCAAGCTGCAGGGTTTTGGGTTTGCTTGCTGGGGATTTTGGTTTAGATTTGAATTATTTAGGCCAAGCCCACTGCAGGCAAGTCGCCGCAGCGCAGAAGGCGTGAGGACAAAGGCCGTCGAATTTCGGGATCAGTTCCTGAAACCCCTAAGATGATATAGGGGTTTGGAAGTCACATAAGGGGCCTGTACTAAGAGAATTTTTCTTCTTTATGGTTGGCTAACTTCGTTAAAGCAGAAGCCTCCCCCAATCCCCAGTTTGACAATGTTCAACACAGACATGTGCATATGTCTAGTTTCATGAACAAAGTCAAAAACCCAAAAACCATGCCTTTGCCGCCAGGCTCCTCCACCCCAACGGCCCGAGTCCACCCAAGCCTCCCCGCCGGGTGCCGAGATTACCCGGTCTCTTCGTGAGTTCAAATTTGCCAAAGAATGTTAGGCGATGTCTCCATGTACGAAGAACGGCACAAACCGAATGAACCGACTAGAATCTTGATGTTGCAGAAGCAAGCGAAGGCACCTTCCCAAGTGTTCGTGGTGGATTCAGGGTGTTTCCTTCAGGCAAACCTGTCTGTTTTCGACGGTCTCCACGCGACATGTCGACAAATCGAGGCTCTTCACCTCTCCCCAAAAATCCCGTTGGTGTATGTGTGGGCTTGATGCCCGGGAGGCTTGACACACCTCTGAAAAATAGTGGTGCTGTGTTGGGGACACGCGACTGTTGGGAACGTTTCCGTCACGAACTCCGTAAGTCCGCGGCTGGGGTCACACTGCTATTCAGAGCTGCCTCTCACCAGGCGAAAGGCTTAGCGCATCTTTTAGGTCGAGCAGTAGGGCGTGTTTTTGTTGCGTTAGCTTGAGGGTGTGTGTCGAGATCTTGGCGTGCTTCCTGTCGACAGTCTTTTAGTCCTTTGAACCCATCTGCTTTCTTTGTGAAATCGATAGCGCTATCTTTCCGACCAGCTCCCTAGGCTCGAGCTGAGTTTCGATTGCAAGAAAAGTCGGCGTCTGGTTGACGCATGCTTTGCGTTTTGCCAGGGCCTGAAGCCCCTGGACAATGCCCAGTCCGCCGTGGCTGCAGCCGCCAATGCTGCGGCTTTCTCTCGGCAAAGCCTCCGAGAGTGCTGGGGCCAAGCCCGCCGCTTACTTTATCATAGGGCCTCGGGGTCTATTATACTTTGATTGCCACAAGGAGCCCTCAAAACCCTATTTTAATCACTAAGGCCCCTACATTAGGCTCAAGCATGAATGCTGTAGGACAGGCTCTAAAATAGCTCAAGTACTAGTTGAGGTTATCACACCTCTACCTGGCTTGACGCTTCCTTTCAAGCATTTCGTGACCGGAAAGTACCATTCCAAGCCCCAAGTCCCCAACTCCAAGTTAACCAAAATGGCTCTAAACCCTAAACCCTAAACCCTAAACCCTAAACCCAAACTCCAAACCGCTTTATCCAAAATGGCTGCGGCTCCAGGCTCTGGCGAAGCCCGAAAAAGAACTGCCCTGTTAAAACCGACGTGGGAGTTTCCGACAATACGGGGTACCTTCTTCTGGGGTCCTTGTAATAAGGATCCTACTATTAAGGGGGGATTTGTATTAGTATTCGTATTCGTATCAGTAGCAGGAGTATTCGTATTAGTATTGTTTAGTCAGGTGCCCCAGCCGAGACAGCCATGGCACTCCTTCTGGCCCTCTCTTCCTTGTGCCTGGCTTCGGGCAAACCTCCGCATGTGCTCCTCATCGTGGCAGATGACTACGGTTGGGGCAACTTGGGTGTCCATCGCCAGAATGCTGGAGATTCTTTGGGGGAGCTCCAGGGAAAGTTGGAGGTTCACACGCCCACTCTCGACAGGCTCATCGACGAAGGAATCTTGTTGGACCGCCACTACGCTTTTCATGTGTGCGCCCCTAGCCGTTCCTCCTTGCAGTCGGGGCGCCTTGCGGTGCACGTGAACAGCGAATTGAGGGATTATGACTTGCAGCGAGTGAATCCGAAAGACCCAGTGAGTGGCTTTGCAGGAATCCCGCGGAATATGACCTGCATCGCGGAAAAGTTGCTCGCGGCTGGGTACCGCACCCACCTGGTCGGGAAGTGGGATGTCGGGATTGCGACGCCGCAGCACTCACCAAAAGGGCGGGGATATGAGACTTGGTACGGCTTCTATGGTCATGACAACGACTATTGGCACGCGACAGCATCGATGACTTCAGCATTCGGAGCTGTTGACGTGTGCTTGAACCAAATGAGAGACTTGTCCATGCACAATTCGAGCTACTGCGGTCCCGCTCTCGACGACATTTCCTTGTCGGCTGTGTGCGAAAGCGACGACGACAAGGAGTCGGAACCATCGTGTTACGAAGAGCATCGTTTCAAAGAGAGGGTTCTGGAGATCATCCGGTTCCATGACACAGAAAAGCCCTTATTCCTTTTGTATGCATTCCATTTGCTTCACACTCCTCTGCAAGTGCCGCAGGTGTGGCTGCGACGAATCGATGACCTTGTTGAAGCTGCAGGTGGCCATCCGATTGATTCCAAAAATCGACGACTGTATGCGGCCATGACTCTTTACATGGACGCCGCAATAGGTGAAGCTGTTGAAGCATTAAAGAAAAAGAACATGTATGAGAACACGTTGATCATCTTCGTTTCCGACAACGGCGGTGCGATCTATGAGCCCGCTGGTGCCTCAAACCATCCTCTTCGAGGAGGAAAAGCATCCGTTTTTGAAGGAGGTCTCCGAACGAATGCCTTTGTCTCAGGCGGCTTCGTGCCAGAATCTCGCCGTGGCACGAAGTTTGAAGGTGTCATCAGCATTGCTGACTGGTACGGAACACTTGCAGAGCTCGCGGGCGTGGACATCGAGGATAAAAAAGCCGAGGCGGCCAACAGGTGGCTACGGGACAAGGGCCTCCCCCTGCTGTTTCCGGTAGACAGCGTGCCGCAGTGGCAAAACATCCTCCAGAACCGCAACGGCAGAGCCGATCCTCTTCACTTGACAAAGCACGCCCTGCTGATGTGGCCATACAAATTGATCACTGAAAAGACCAAATATGGTGGCTGGACAGGGCCGGTCTATCCGAACTGCTCCACTGTGCAAAGCGTTCGAAGTCAACGGGGACCAATGCCCGTGTCGATTAAGTCAGATTCTCCCATATTCTTGCCCGAGCTCTCCGACGAGGAATTGGACTTGCAACTCTGGATTGTTCATTGCAGTGAGGGTTGCCTGTTCAATGTGAGGGATGATCCGACGGAGCACGTGGATTTGGCTAGAGACCCTGACTACGAATCAATTTTTCGGACAATGAATGAGACGCTGCAGCTCATGAACAAGGACCTCTTCAATCCCGACCGTGGAGCGACGACGGTGGAAGCTTGTATGGTGGCCATTGAGCACGGGCGAACCCTCAGGCCCTTCTTAGACCTCGGCGAGTTCTACAGCCCTACACCTGCAAGGAGCCCAGATCGGCAAGCTGAAGACGCGGTGCTGAGTTCCACGCTGCGCATCATGAACATGGACGAGAACAAGCTGCGGTTTCTCAATGAGCTGATGGAGGAGGCGAAGCATGCTCCGCATGAGTATGACAGGTGCCTGGTGCCGATGTTTCGGGATGTAGAGCAGTAGGCTTGTGTATGGCCATCGCATACTATCACCTCGCCAGAACGGCTGGGGCTCTCAATGCTTCTCGTCGTTGGGATACGACGCTTAATTATCCAACGTCTTCCGGTGTTGCATACCCCCAAAAGAAGGGGATGCATAAACCATGAAGGAGTTTGGGGGTTTTCTAGATCCCCCTTCCCCACTCCCGTCGCCATCCAACATCTCCGGATCCCGTGTTGCATACCCCCCAAAAGAAGGGGATGCATAATCCATCAAGGAGTTGAAGGGATCTTCTAGATCCCCCTCCCCCGCTCCCGTCGCCATCCAACATCTTCCGGTGTTGCATACCCTCAACATCTGCATGTTGTGACAGAAGTTTTCCCGTAGGTTTCGCTTGGCAAGTAAACTAAGCCCCCCGTACTTGGTTGATTTGGTTCTGCAGCTAGGCGGCTGGGTGTGGGACCACGGCGGAGCCTGGATTTTGATAGTGGAGGCTTTCATGTCGCGTCTCACCCCAGGTGGCAAGGGCCCTGCAGTTTCATGCGAGTGTAAACGCATGACGCCAGTCTCTTGTGACTGGCTGTCCTCCGTCTGGACCTCTGTTGCTCAGAAACCTCGCCCGGACTGTCCCAGTTGTGAGAGCCGAACCCGGAAGACCTAACATGTAGTACTATCCCCTAGAAGCTCCAACTAGATACGAAAGTTACCCTGAGTCCTAAACCCTGAACCCGCCTGAACCCGCATACATGCAGGATATTGGGCCGGGAAGGAAGTCTCGGAATATCCAGGCCCCGACGTCGAAACAGGGCTTTTTTGCGTTCCGGCCGTCTTTGGCCGTTCCCGGATCTGGCTCCAAGTAAGCGCTTCGGTTCTATTATAGAGTGGCCTGAGAATTCTGGCACCAGTAGGACTTGTCCCAGGAAAGCTTTTTCTTCGATATGGTATGTACGTCAGTATGTCAGACGTCAACAGTAGGAGATTTCTGCTGCAAGCCATCATCCCTTCGTTTCCGAGCCATGGCATGTTGCGGTCCCAAGCTCACACCCCGGACGGCCTTGGCCAAGTATGCCGAAGCACTGAGGGGCCAGCCAGAGGACGAGCTGCCCACGCTCTTCCCCATGTACACGGTGCCACTGGAGACCTTACTGGAGATGACGAGGATCGAGCCTCATGAGGAGCTGAAGGCCAGGGATGTGCTGGTTGAGTACCGAGGGTCCATGGGCAACGTAGGATTTATCTCGCACCAGTGGGTTGGCGTGGGCCACCCGGACCCAGAAAGCAAGCAGATGCGGATCTTCCAAGAGGCGCTGAAGGCAGCCAGAGATGACGTGAAGATGAGGAGCATCTCCCCGGACATCGTTTCTGAAATCAACAATCCGAAGATAAGGCCCTTTCCAACTGCCAGGCTCTTCTCGGAACCCCTCTTCTTTTGGTACGACTATTTCTCGATCCCACAAAAAGCAGAGCACCCATGCGAACAGCTCGACGCTATCAACAGCATACAAGCCTACGTAGACAAGTGCTCCTTCTTCTTTGCACTGGTGCCGGTGCTGGAGAGTTCCAGCTCAATGGCCTTGCTGTCACCTCTGACCTGGCAAGGACGAGGTGGGCTCTCAGAAAAATGTTTAGGGTTTAGGGTTTATGGTAGCTCCTATAGGCTTCCCTGCAAGAAGGGCCCGCAAAGAAAGTGCCTCAACCCCAAACCCTCAACCCCAAGGCCCTACCTCTAGATGCACTTTCAGGCTGGTGTCGATTGGAAAAAGCCGTCCGAGAGCTATCCCACGATCCCTCTTGGATCATGGTGAAGGGACCAAGGGACATGCAGTTTATATCGGATGTCTTGGCATCTTCCCGTGCTGGCTCGGGGCCGGTGGGCGAAGGAGCCTTCACCGTGCAGGAGGATTGCCTCAAGCTAAGACCAGTTCTGATGACCGTGCTGAAGCGCAAGTTGATCAGGCTGCTGAAATCCAAAGATTTCGCAGGCTATCGTGCATTGCTGAACCAGCAAAGCACGATACTGACTGGAATGGGCTGTGACTTCGAACCGCTCCTCGAAATGGAGAACTCGGACGATCCGCATGGACAGGATCGGAGTAATACCCTGATGTTCTTGCACCAAAATGGCTTTTCAACCATCAGGACGAAGGATTCATGTGGATGGTTCCCCATTCATTACGCAGCCCTGGTTGGCGACGCATCGCTGGTTCAGGACTTGCTGGCACTTGAGGCAGACCCGAACCAAGGTACTAAGAAGGCGCATCCAAACCTTGGTTTTGAGGCTGGAACTCCGCCTCTTTCCATCTCCTGCTACTTCAGAAAGAACGAGGTGGTGAGGTTGCTGCTCTCCGTGAGAGCTAGCTTCGACAGCTTGGGTCCCATTATTCATTACCCTCTGAATTGCGCAGCCGCTGTGAACAATGCAGAGGCGGTGCAGATTCTTTGCGAAGCCGGGTGCAGCCCGCTGCAGAGAAATGCCTTGGGTCACAGTTGCATAGAGACGGCTGCCAGCTGGGGGCTCGGGCTTGAAGCCATGGAGGAGCTTGTCAGACAGGCGAGCATTGCGGGTGCTGTAGATAAGATTGACCCAACGCCAGCTCTGTATCTCGCAGCCATCAGTTGGGGCGGTGCTGAGGTGGTACAGCGCTTGGTTGCAATGAGGGCAGATGTGAACGCTCAGACGGCAGATGAGCCAGCAAAACGCACATTGCTCATGCGAGCAATGTATACAGCAGTGCTTTGGCAGCACAGGTTCCACAAGGTTACAGCAACAAGCACATTTCTCTATCATGCAAGAGGCGGAACCGCTTTGATGCTGGCGTTAGTGACCGGGAACTACGAATTTGCTGCAGCTCTGATAGCTGCAGGGGCCCAGCTGATTCCACGAAATGCTCGTGGGTTTTCTGCAGCAGACTTGGTGTCAAAACATTCGGCACCAGACTTCCTTGCTGAGGCGTTCGAAGGAAGGGTGGAAGCATGCCGGAGAGTGGCGGAATTGGCATGTGGCTGGGTCAAGATGGCCTTTTGATCCAAAGCCTTCACCGCAGCACCGCAGATGGGCAACTTGTGCTGAACCGTGGCAGCGTGACTGCAATCATCATGACAACATGCCAAAGGCATGTAAAACTCAATCCCTTTTACCCTTTTAGGAGGTGTTGAAGATTGACCGGCGAAAGCAGGGATAAAACAACTTTGGCTTTGCAGAGAATTTCGTGTCTCCGCCGACGGTGAGTCGGTGAGGTTGCGAAGGTTTTCCTTTAGGGTTGAGGGGATTCTCTTCTACAGAGGAGCTGGTCGGCAAAGAAGGATGATGGAAGAACAGCATTTTATGTCGTGATCACTCGCATGTTTTCTCACGAGTCATCTCCTTCACATGTCTCTGGGTCTCTTTCCCTGTTGCTGAAGCTCCTGGTCATGGGGTTGGAAATGAAGGTTGCTTCTCCAACAATATTGACACCTGAAATCACCTGAAGGTGCCACTGATTTCCACTGTTTGCACCGTCTACTCCTCCTTCGACGGCCACTGCCTGTGGCCGCTACTGCTACATATTTCTACTCTCTGCCGGCGACTGCTGCTAGTAGTGAATTGCAAGTCGTACTACTGCTCCGCCACGCCATCACACCGCCACAGTCACCGCTCGGCTACTGCAGCTGCAGCTGCACTGCTGTGTCCATGCCCCTTCATGAACGTCGCTAGTGGCTTCTTCCTGTTACGGAAAGGTTTAGTGGTCTCATTCGCACATCCATCCGTCGAGCGAGCAAGGCGAACCCGACGTCTAGCGCTGGGCTACGCGCCGTTGCGGGCCCTGCCCTGTCAAGGTGGGATTTGGCCTGGGCCTGGATGGGAACAGTATCGGTGCGGGTCTTGAGCTTTGCCGCCGCCATGATGTGCTTACTTGGTTCGTTTGAGACTGTTTTCGGATGCTGTGTCTGCATGAAAACTGAGGGGATACCATGGACTCCGCATGATTCAACCTCCTGCAAAGAGTTGGCTTTGTCCTTCCGAATTACTTACTTGATGTTTATCACCGACAGTCTGGGAGACCCGGATGACCTCGACAGGCACAAGAGAACGTCCCTCTGGCAAGTTGGAGAGGGGTCCTGCGTGGATGATGGGAGGGCCCGTGCCAGGCTTACAGTGTCTGTTTACCTGCGTGAAAAAAGATGAGCATATCAACTTGCTTCCCGTTTTTGCATGCGGCCAGGCTCACCTACTTGTCAACTGGGCAACAATACTTGCAAACTTCTGCGGCAAGCTTAGCCATTGCCTGAAGAAATAATATTGCGGGGTGAAATCGGGCTTTGGGGAATTTACTAGATCTATTAATGATACGACGCCGAGGATCTATAATTGATCATTTATTTTCAATATTATATGATTATCTATTGAAAATCCTAAATCTATCTATCTCATTCGAATCCATGGATAAATATTGAGAAAAAATATAAGAAACTTATTCAATTCTGAATTAATCTATAAAATCATTTCAATTAAATATCATCATATATTCTAATGGAAATCAAATACAGATATTATATATATATATATAATGATTTACTAATTAGATTTATATATGATTGATATAGAACCGAATGAAATCTAGATCATTACCTTATTATTGGAATATCTTTTTCTTGTCAAATTATTCGTAGGAACAAATAGAACCTCAATTTGAGAAGTGATTTGAAATATAAATATAATATAGATTTTTCTTGTATTTTTGAAATTGATTTGACCATAGATTTATCTATTTATTAGATTTTAGAAATTATTTCTGCTGATATGTATATATATATATATGATATCTCTTGATTTTTATTTATCTTATAATGATTTCTCAGAATTCATAAAAGGAATTATATTCTGGAATAAGAAATTAGAATATAAAAATTTGAAAGAAAGATTTTTATTGAATATTTCTTCTCTGAAATTAGTCTCTAAGAATTTATGAAAAAAATTCTGATATTGATATTATTGGAGAGATCTACATTCTTTTAGGCATGATTTCTTAAAACAATTATATTTGATAAAGATGATTTGATTTTTCGTGGATTTTTTTATTTATATATTTTTTATTTTTTGTAGGTTTAATTCTTTTATTTCTTAAGATGTAAGGATCTCAATATAATTTAAGAAGAGAAAAAAGATTATGATTATTTTTTCTTTATATTCAGATTATTTGTTAAATATTTTTCAGATTGCAAATAAACAATTATTTATATTTTAATGGTGGTTTGGTATCGGTCATCTTAAATTGAATGATAATAGATATAGAAGAAAGATATAATGATAATGAGGAGCAAAAGATGGATGAATAATAATTTGGAAAAATATATAATAAAGATGAATTTAGATGATATTATGATATATATGATTTCGTGATTTTATATTAATGGAATTTTGTCGTTCTAGAAGATTTTTTGTTATTTTAATATTTTTTTGAATTCTTATTAATATAAAAAAATATCATATAGGAATATCAAGATATATGATATCGAGAATATTTAAAATAAGAATGATGATTATATAAATATAAATGATTATTTATATGATTATTTTGCTTGATATTATTTATTGGAATTTTGATTATTTGTTCTGCTGTTTTAGGATTATATGCATAGATATTAGAGTGACTTCGAAGAATTTCGTTATGGATTCGCGGCAGATGCGGATTGTTGGATCGATTTCGGGAATAGAATCCGAATTTTTTTCGAGATTTATTCTTATATAAATTAGCTTCTAAGATATATATATATTTATCTAAATTGTATTTTCACGAATTTGATAAATTATAAATATAATGATATATTTCTTGAACTCGACGAATTCCCACTCGTGAAGATATCGTCGGAGATTAAAAACACATAATTTATGAAGACGACATGCGCTGGCATTAAATACAAGACATTCTTAAAACGACAGGAAAACGAAATCTTCGGTGAAATATCATCATTAAAGAAATATAAGAAAATATATTTATATGATTTTGAATAACAAGAATTAAATGAAACCGCCGTCGCGATGGAATAGAATTATTTTCTTTAGACGTATTATCCATACAAGAATAACTTCGTCATAAGACGACTAAAGACCGCGAAGCCTTCCAAATCTTCTTGAAGAGCCTCAGCACGACGACGAGATCTATGGTTATTCATATCAATATAAATCCAGAAAATATGAGCACTATATTCTCTAAATATTTTCTAAAATAGATATATATTATTGCCAGTAGTGGCAATTCCATAAGCAGCCGGACTTCAGAAAATACCGATCAAACCTTGAATTATTAAGAATTATAATTTATAATAAGATAGCTTAAATTATTATTAGATTTCGAATTTTATCATTTATTTCAGAAATATATATAGAAATCTTCATACTCTTGATGAAGGACGGATTCAATATTGGATCATCAATAAAGACTATTCTTGATCAAAGAAATAGAAGCATTCGTGATATTATATTTCTGATATCAAAGATTCATAAGCTCCGATCCATATCTTTTCAATATGATATGACAACTAATTAATTTCTAGTCCCAAAGACCAGAGATGATCCTTGCAATCTCTTTATCAAGGACTCTCGTGACAACAACAGAAAAACAATAAGAGCACGAAAATCGAAATACGACTGATGCCTCGGAAGATCATCTCTAAGATCAAGGCTGGCATAACGAAATTTATATAATCTTTTCTTCGACAAATTTCAGATATAAGAGGCTTCCAACATCATCCAAACTCAACTTTGACAAGAGGCCCAACAGCAACAACCATATGCCTCTTCTGCCATAATATAGATAAGAATATATCGTGAACAATGAGACTAATTATATCATTATTAGAATATTTTCTTTATCATGGTGACGATATTGACAAATATATACGAGAATCAATGGCTAGAATCATATATCTATCAATAATTTTAGTCGCTGGATCATCATTCACGACAGACAAAAGACCTACGGTCCGAAATACTCTTATAATAAAATAGAATTTTATCATCATTTTCTTCAAGTTACAAGAGACCATTCCAAGACTTCCAGACCTAAAGAAAGAGCTTCTAGAGTACTCGGTGAAGTCCACATAATATCATCTATAAAAACACGTAATTCAATGAAAATGGCGAATCGGCTCTCAAATCCAAGGAGTCAGGAGCATTATTCCTTGCAATACGGAGCATTTCAAAGAACATTTCAATAGCTCAAATACGTCAAGACAATAATTCTAAAAAGAAATCAAGAATTATCGACGCGTCCAATATTATAATAATGTAGAGCTCAAATCATATAATAGTCCAAATTGCTCCATAAGAAAAATCATAATCTCAAGATCTAAGAAATCAAAAGCAAGACTAAGTCCAAGGAAATAATATAACATAATCATATTTTACGATCAATAAAGAAATCGATATAAAATAAATTTCATTATTTTTTATCAGAGCTAATTTCATAAATTCCTCATCATTAATCCCATATATTAATATCAATAGAAAGAAACCTAACCGAAATCCATAAGCGATATCAATAATTACAAATTAAGATTAATCTCAAATCGGCAATATCACGTATAATATCAGCCTATCCAATGTCCTTATTAGCTTTCGGCAAGTAATTCTACGTAACAAACGCCCAGATAATATAATATTTCAAGAATGAATAGAATATAATATATTTTAGATTTCAATAATAAAATATATTTTTTTCATCGAATTCCCAAAATCTCGATCATTATTTTAGATTTTTCCGTTATCTATTATCCATATTCGAGCCTGCTTTTACCAAATCTAAAATTCAAATTTTTCTCTATATCACGACATTAATATCGAGAATATTTCAATTTGATTTTCTAGATTCCCAAAGTCATTGTTTATATTTTAGACAATATTCTTCTAATTCTTTCAATTTTATCTTATTCTCGAGATATTAATAGACCTCTCGATTAGTGACGTCATCCAAATAATCTTATAGATCATATTATTAAACACTTTAGTCGTCACTTATGTTTTTGTTCAACTGCGTTGCTGCACAG